GCAGAGCAGGTGACAGGGACCTGGTTCTGCGCATCTGAGCAGGGGCTCTGGGCCATTGGCTTCCTATCCTGGGTCCCGGCAGTAGAATGGGTCAGAGGAGGGGACAGAGCAGGGGGCGCTCAGCCCAGGTCTGACCTGGCTGCGAGCCCCTCCCCTGCCTGCTGCAGGCCCCTGCACCTCCCCAGGCCTGAAAGCCGGCACCTGCAGGCTGCAGAGAGGAGGCTCCCCAGTGAGAAAGCTTTGGGGGCAGCTCCCCCGGCAGCCAGGAGGATAGGGACCGGGAGGACAGCACCAGGTGGCAGAGTGCAGAGCACAGGGGAGCCACAGCAAGTTCAGGAGCAAGGCAGGGGCACCGTCAGACCTGCATATCGCATGATCCTTCTCTGGGCTCCACAAGGGCCAGACTGGCAGGGGAGACCCTACCTGGCCTGCTCATGCCTCGGGCCAGTTCCCCTCCCTCCTGCCTTTGGGGTCCTTGGAGAACCTGCATCTGACCGCATTCCATGTCCCAGGAGAATCCTGGACACTCCCCACCCAGCCCTGTCGTGCCCCTCGCCCACTCTGGCCTCTGCTCACCCTCGGCCTGTCCTGGCAGTGTCCTCCCTCGGCTCTCCACTCATGACACCTCCACTCCTCCTTCCAGGACGGCACCCCCCAGCACGGCTGCCCCTGGCTTCACCCCCAACCTGCTGTGTGACCCTGGGCAAGCTGCTCAGCCTCTCTGGGGCTCTGCTGATTCATTCCATACCAGGGAGGTGACTGTAAAATTGGAGGAGGTGACACATGTTGTGAGATTCACACAAGGACCAGCTCATGTCACCTCCCTGGAGAGATTCTCCCTCAGCCAGGTCCTCAGGTACAGGGAGCCTCTGGTCCCACAGCACCTGAGACCTGGCCCCATCGGGTGCACCCTGGTCCTGTCCATCCACCGGCAGGAGCTCCTGCTGGAAGCTGCCCGCCTCCTGCTGCCCGCTCTGCCCCTGGTGGCTCTGAGTTGGGCCTGAGCATCTGAATACCCAGCCCTGCCCACTCTGGTCCCCTTCAGGCCTGGCCTGGCACGAGCAGGACAAGAGGCCATGCAGATGGGCAGGGCATTGTGTTCTGGGCATCCTAGGACAATCCCTCCCCTGGGGTCCTCTCTCTGCCACTGGCTCTGGGCCCATTGTCCAGGGACACTGGTCCCACTGTAGCCCAGGGAGCACTTTAACCTGGGCGATTATGTGAGGCTTTGTCCAGCAACAAATGGGTGCCAGGGCCAGGTGTGGGGTGAGCCGAGTGGCCTCTGCCAGGCCCTGCGCCCCGGCCTCTCCTGTGCCCTGACCCGTGGGCAGCCCCCCGACACCTCCCGGTCTCTGCTCAGGCTGCTCCTCCTGCCTCGAGTGCCGTCTCCCGCTTGGCCGTCTCCTCTGGGCCCTGGGGACCCTCTCTGGCCCTTCCTGAAGCCCCCCCCCCCCAGGTCCCAGCCCCTCCCCTGTTGGTGTGGCCACACATGGCCATCTCCACCGAGTGGCCCTGTCCTGGACTCTGGTTGGGCCATGCTGTCACTAGAAGTGGGCTTCCCGGGACGCTGTCTTGGTCCCTGTGGGTTGTGTGGCTCCAGGCCAGGGCTGTCACTTGGTGCTCTGTGGTGTAACCGGGCCAGTGTCCCAGCAGGCACGGGGAGGGGGGCTAGTGTTCCTTGATTAAACGTGATGCTTAGTCTCAGCCAGGTCCTGGTCCAGGGACCAGAAAACAGAAATGAGCCAGACCCCGACTCTGACCTAAGGGACTCGGGAGCATCCACGGGGGACAAAGACCTTCTAGGGGACGATGTGGGGACATAGATCTAGGATGGCTTCTAGGAACCCAGGCCCCGTCATGGGGACAGGGGCTGCAGCCGGAGGCCACAGAGGAGGGCAGTAGCCTTCACGAGGGGCGCTGCAGCCCCGCAAAGCCCCGTGTCTTGCCCCATCGTGCCCTGCCCTGCCCGGGGGCCTGCTGGGACCCGGAGGTGACTCAGGCCCACAGTTACACAGGGGCTCAGGGAGAGGACGAGGACCTGCAATCCAAGTGGAGCTTGTGATCAGATGGCCTTTGGGACAATCTTATGGGGCTGGAGATCACAGACCAGAGGATCTCGCTGTCCTGCCGGCTGGGCACAGGGCCCAGGCACCCTTCCTGGGGACCTGCTGGCCAGGTGTGACTGGCCAGGGCCCTGAGGCTCTTCTGCTGGACAGCTGGCCCGCCTCCTTCATTTCTGTAAAGATGCGGGACCCTGTGTCTCTTTGTGTCTCCAGTGTGACCCTGGGCACCTCGACCAGCACAGGTCACAGCACTCAGACCCCCCATTGGCGTAGAGCCACCTCCTGCAGGACCAGCCGGGGTCCCCCGTGTCCCTCCCTCCGCCTGCTCCAGCCACCTCAGCTTCCTCGTTGTCCCCTGAGCTCCAGGGGTGGCTCTGGCTCAGGACGGTGGCACCTGCTGTCCCCTCTATTGGAGTGCTCTTCCTCCCCAGCTGCAGACAGCAACTCAAGAGTCAGCAATTTAAGGCGGCCATTGCTGGCCGGGCCTCCCAGCCTGGCCAGGCGCCCTCCTCCCACACGATCCCACCGGCCTGCAAGACGGCCCTGCTGTGGAGCCATTTGGTCAGGGTAGAGACTGGAGGGCGGACAGTGGTCTCGCAAGAGGACGAGGGGGTGGGACATTCCCAGGGCCCAGCAGCACACCAACTCCTCGGGGTTTGTGGAGACGGCCCTGTTGCTGGATCGCACACTCGCGAGCCCAGGCCCCTGGATTGCTGTGTCTCCTGGCCACATCCAGAGGCCACGGGTGGTGACTTGTCCTCATGCATCTAGGTTTGTACTCTTACTCTGTGACACTCGCACGAAGACAAGTCACCCAACCATGCACATCTTCTGCAGGGAGTGTCCACCCCATTGTCCAAGGCTTTGTAAACTCGCTGTCTTTTTTTATTGGTACCAGAGCTTGAACCCGGGGTCCCTAACCACTGAGCCACATCCCTGGCCCTTTTCATTTTTTATTTTGAGACAGGGTCTCGCTGGGTTGCCCAGGGCCTCGCTAAATTGCTGAGGCTGGCCTCAAACTTGCGATCCTCCTGCCTCGGCCTCCCTAGTCTCTGGGATCACAGGCCTGTGTCACTGCCCTGGCTCACTGTTTGGATGTCCCCGTGAAGTTGGCAGCTGGAGTCTCTGGGATTCCCATCTGCTCTGTTCACTGAGGTTCCCGGGGCCTGCCTGGCTAAGGCAGGCAGTGACAGACCTGTCACAGGAAGGAAGGGAGGGGGAGACGCTTTCCTAACTCCTGTCCTGGGGAGAGGAGCGAAGGGGAGCGGGATGTTCTTTGGCCTGGACCTGCTCGCATTCCAGGGACAGTGGCCTGGCTGCCCCCCGGCTGTTGGTTTGGTTTCAGGCCCCTGCCCCACCTGGACCTCCGTCCCATTGCTGAACAAGCTGAATGAGTCCCCCAGCCCAGGGCCACGTGGCTGGGGGACAGTCCCACCCATGGGGCCTGAGGCAGGGCCCTGGACACAGTCACATATTTATCAGCAAGTACAGGAGGAGGGCTCCTAGCAGCTCGTGTCTCGGCCTCAGCCTCCCCTTCCCTCTCCGCACTTGGCCTCTGGGTCCTGCCTGAGGAGGACGCGCTGCTGACCCAGGCGGGAGCCGGGGCTGGGTAGGGTCACCTACCCTTCCTGCCTGGCAGGCCTCATGGCACCCCGTGGCTGGCGGAAGTCACCCCAGGGCTCCCTGGCGCCTGCTCAGGGGGACACAGCCCCGCCCCCTGCAGGCCGCCCCCCATGGACAGACCTCAGTGGGAGGACACCTTTATTGTCAGGTAGGGGAACAATGGCAAGGCCCCCACCGGCCCTCCATGAGGACAGGGGTGGCCCCGTGGGGAGGGGCCATGAGTCGAGCAGAACCCGGCTCAGCCTCACGTGAGCACCGAGAGCGAGGGGAAGGCCACTCCTGCCGTGGGGACACTGCCCCGGGTGGTGCCAGCACCTTCCATTCAGCGACTCCTTTGGTGGCGAGTCCCAGGTCCTGGCCCAGCAAGAGGAGCACCGGGGCTGGGCGGGAGCACCGTGCCCCGGCTGCCCTCTGTCCAGTTTGCCCAGGGGACACGAACTCGAGGTGTCCCACAGGAGCGGCAGACCCCGGAGATGCCCAGGGAGGCGGGCGGACGGGGCTACTGACCCACCTGTGGGGACAGTCCCTCGGTGCTCCCTCCTCCTGGCTCAGGGTGGCCAGGGCCTGATGGGGGGTGGGCTCAGGGCGGTGGGGCCATGGGCCAGGCCCGCCACAGACCCCTACGCCTGACCACATCGCCCCCCCTCGCGGTCCCTGGACCATGTGACAGTCAGTTCACTCAGGGTCCCCTGGGTTCCAGAGCTCCGGCCAGGCACAGCCGCCTGCCTGCCCGAGGAGCCGGCCAAGCCCCAGGGAGAAGCTGAGGAAGGGCCAGGCGGGGTCTCCAGTGCTGTGTGGGCCCTGCCTGTCCCTCCTGGGCCTGGCCTGGTCCCCTGCTCCCTGGCTGCCTCAGGAGCGGCCTGGCCTGACCCTCCTGTCTGGCCTTTCTCACGACGGGGGAGGAGACACAGTCCAGAGGACTCCATCCTGTGCCAGCCAGGACCCAGGACATGGGTAGACCCTCATCCGCGCCTCGGGTCAGTGGGTGAGAGCTGGCTCCTGAGGATCAGGCGGGCACATGGGGCAGCCCCATGCCAAGGCCCAGGCAGCAGGGGCTCAGTCACCGCAGGCTCTGGTCACCCCAGGCCCCCTCCAGCAGGCAGCGGGGGACGAGGACAGGGGTGAGGGGCCTCTGCTGCGGGTGCTCATCCCCTGCAGACCCCACCCTGACACCATCTGTCACTAAGGCCCCAGGGCCCGGGAGCCAGTGTCCCTCACAGTGTCCGAGCCTGGTGGCCAGGCCCATGTGGGACATCTTCAGGAGCCAGCAGCAGCACTGGCCCAGGTCCGGGCTCGTCCTGGGGAGCCGGGCCGTCACTTCCTGCCACTGGTCCGGTCAGCGCTCTTGTGCGCAGGGTCGGGACCCAGCAGGGCAGCGAGGGCGCCGTCGGGTGGGGGGCCGCCCCGCTTCATCTTGAGGTTGGCTCTCAGGGCCGCGTCCTGGCTCGAGCCGCCCTCAGGGGAGGCCTGGGGATCTGGAAGGAGGGAGAGAGGGCAGGCTGGAGACAGCCTTGGTGCGCTTGGAGGCACCTAGGCTGCCAGCACCGGCCGTGGGACAAGGGGACCCATCCATCCGTCTGTCCATCTGTTCATCCATTCATCCCCATCCATCATTCCTTCCATCCTCTGTCCATCCATCCATCCATCCGTCCTTCTGTCTGTCCATCCGTCCATCTGTCTGTCCACCCATTACTCATTGATCCTTTAACAAACCCTGAGGAGTCTGCCCGAGGCACTCCCCGTGTGCCAGGGAGACACGCAGCCGTCCCAGCCTATGGGGGAAGGGAAGGTGGGGACAGGAGGCCCGAGGAAGGCGGGAGCCAGTGTTCCAGGAGAGACCCAGTGGGCAGGGTGAGGGGACGGGAGCCTGGTGACCAGCTGTGGTCCGCCGGGGCCCTGGGGTGCTGGGAAGGGTCTCAGGAGCCAGGCTGGCACACTGGTGGTCCCCACTGGGGGACCCTGAGCAAGGGAGGGGCAGGGGCAGGTGACACTGGCAAAGACCACCTGATAGCTGAGCGGTGGGGTCACTGAGGCCAGGGCCACCAGAGGCCTGAGGACAGCGGCTAGTGGGGGAGGCCAGGGGGCGGCGGGCGCTCACCGTGGATGCCGATCATGTGCTCCAGGATGAGGACCCTCTCGGCCAGGATCTTCAGCGCCTCCCGCAGCTGCTGCACCCCCTCGCCCTGCCAGGAGGGAGGCAGGGTCAGGGCGAGTCGGCGGGGCCAGGGCCGGCTGGATCCGGGGACACGCCTCCGGCCTCGCTCCTCAGCCCCCTCCTCTGGCTCCTTGCCACCCCTGTGCCCACCTCGGGAGCCTCACTCCCGCCTGCTCCCTGCTCTGGTCCTACAAGGACCTCCAAAGGTCCTGGCCCAGCCTCGCCCACAGCTGCCTGCCTCCAAGGCTGAGGTCCCTGCTCAGCCAGGTCTCCACCTGGGCTCCACCTGGTTTCCACCTGGCCTCCTCCTCCAACTGGCCTCTACCTGGCCTCCTCCTCCTCCTGGGCTCCACCTGGGCTCTACCTGGCCTCCTCCTCCACCTGGGCTCCACCTGGCCTCTGCTTGGGCTCCTCCAACTGGCCTCTATCCAGCCTCCACCTATGCCTCTGACCAACACTCCTTCAGCTCCAGGCCCCAAACCCCTCCTCCTGCATCTGCCCCTGCCACCCACCAGCCACGTGTCCCTCAGCCCACCAATGCCCGTGGGCACGTCTGTTCCCAGAGGAGTCTTGTCCCTTTAGAAGGGCCCCTCAACCCCTCGTGGACTGGTCCCCATCCCGCGTCCCAGGTCCGGTGGCCCTGACCCTGGCAGCCCCGCCATCTGCCCTCTGCCCTGCAGTCACGGCTGCACTGGGCTGGGCACTGCCAAGGGCAGGGACCCCAGCACCAGGCCAGGTGTGAGGACAGGTTGGAGGGTCCGCCCTCTCCCTGCAGCGCTGTGGCCGGCCACGGGAGCCTGCTGACCGCCGTCCTTACCTCTGTGGCCGCCGCCTTGTCCCCCTCTGCTCCCTTCACTCCAGGTTGGCCCTAGGGAGCAAGCCACACGGTCACCCGGGGCAGACCTCGGGGCAGTGAGCCAGGACAAGAGGGGCCCCGCGACTCCTGCTCCGGGGTGAGAGGAGCGGGACAGGTGGTGCCCAGGGCACCCTGCAGAGCCTGGCATGGTAGGCCTCCTCAGCCTCCAGGGAGGCTGTTTCCCGCTGGCCACAGTCCCTGCAGCCCACTCCAGGCCCACTCCAGCCCACTCTGGGCAGCTCTGATGTGGTCTGTCCTGGTCCCTCCCGCTGCCCGCTCTGGCTGGGAGACCCTGCCCCGGCACCCGGGCCCACTGCCCTGGGGCCACGGCTCAGCCCACACTTACAGCCGGTCCCTCCACGGGCTGCCCGCCAGCCAGGCCCTGCAGAAACCAAATGGAGCGCGTGAGGCCTGCTGCCCAGGGGCTCCCATCCCCCGCTTCAGCCCGCTGTGGGTCCCCTGTCTGGGAGGAGGACAGCGAGAGCAAATGGGAAGGCCAGGCCTGAGGCCTTTGGGTCCTGGAGCCCCGTCCAGCTGGCCAGGACCTGGGCCTCGGCTGGGCCTTGGGTCCTCTCACCTGTGCACGGGGACAGGGCAGCAGAGGGCCACTGCCCCTAGTGACCAGGATGCCGCCTGCCTTCCCCCTCCTGGAGAGGCCACAGTCCCTCCCACCACTCAGTCCACGCCAGAGATGGCCCCTCCTTACCTGGGATCCTGGTGCTCCTGGGGGTCCCGGGGGGCCGTGTGGTCCGGGGGGACCTGTGGGCAGAGCCGAGTGCTCGCGAGGCCTCCCTCCCGCTGCCCCAGCCCAGCTCCGTCCACTCTTCTGCCTCCACCTGCTCCCCTCGGGCTGGCCAGGGCCGCCCAGTCCTAAGAGCTGGAGACCCGGCTGCGACGGCCACCCCTGCGGGCCTGGCACTCGGCCCGGGAAGCCCAGTGCGTCCTGGAACCCAGGACCTGGCCCTCCTTGGCCATCCATCTGTCCGGAGTCCCAAGGACAGCCTACTGCCCACACGCCTCACCAGAGCGAGCTTCAAGAGGCGCACGTCCCCTCGGTCCTGCTGGGGCCCCAGGTGCCTGGCCCTCTCCGCCCACCCCAGCTGCCCGCCCCCAAGGCTCCTGTGCTGCTGCTCCTCCCAGAGCCTCCCTTCCCTCCGCTGGCCCGAGGTCCCTGCCCACTGCTCTCTCCCGGGCTCTGGGACACAGCGCTGCCTCCTCCAGGAAGCCTTCCTGGCCTGTCCCCCTGCGTCCAGGTCCATCCTTGACAGGGACCCACGGCCGAGGTGGGTTACGTGACAGGTGCCCGAGGGTCAGGCTGGGTCTCCTGCACCTGCACGGGGAGGGGCTTCTGACGCATCCCTGCCCTGCTCGGGAGAGAGGCCCCTGTCCCCGTGGATGGACCTATGCCTCCCAGGCTGCCGGGACCCGTGGCTGGGCTGCTCAGTGGGGCTGTCCCCAGGTTCAGGGAGGACATTTGGGTAAAGAGTGACCTTTACGTGACCAGGTGCGTATCAGGGTCAGCCTGGCCTCAAAGCAAACGCCCTCCCTGGCCTGAGCGCCCGAGACACGGCAGGTCCTGGTGTCCCTGCGTCCTCCTCCTGATGTCCCTGTGTCCCTGGGTGTCTGCTCCAATGTCACCTCTAGGACCATCCCTTCCCTCCTCACCAGCCCGCCTGTCCCTGTCCCTCTCTCACGTCCTATTCACGTGACTTAGGACGTCGGCACTTGGCCTGCCCTCTGCTGGACGGTGGGCACCGGCCGGGATGGCACCTCACAGTGAATCCAAGGGTCCCGGGGACCTGGCACATGGCTCAGTGTGCAGTAAGCACTCAGGGGACATTTGTCCACTGCACAGAGAGCCGGTGAGAGACAGCTGGGTGGCTGGGCTGCCCATTCCCTCCAGGGCCTCCACTGCCCCTCCAGGGGGCCCTGGGTGTGGCCAGCACACAGCTGGTGGGCAGGGTTGGGGGCAGTGGCCAGTCTGCCCTGTCTCACGCTGTCCCCAGGGAGGACGTGTGGAGGGTGGGGTCAGGCCAGGCCTGGAGCCAGCTTCCCGCCAGGTGACCGCAGGCTCTGCTCCCTGTGTCCTGCCGGGCCAGCTCCCCAGGCCCTGGGGCCACCCCTGGGCCTGGCTTCCTCATGTCCCAGAGCCCCTCCCACCCGGGAGACAGGCAAGGGCAGCCTGGGGCCACTTCCTCTGGTGCCCTGTTCAGATCACTCGAGGCTGGTGTGTCCAGTCTCCCAGGGGAGCTGCCCCTTCACCTCTGGCCACGTGACACTTGGGGAGGCCCCTTCCACTCACCCGGGGGGCCGGGGGGACCTCGGGGCCCTGGGATGCCCGCCAGCACAGTGTCCACCACGGCAGGTGCCAGCTGGGCGTCTCCATCTGTGGGAAGAGATGGCCACTGGTGACCACATAGGGCAGAGCCTGCCACACCGGGAGGCTGGGCCTCGGGGGCCCGTCAGCCCCCCGGAGTGGGCTCCTCCTCTCCCTCAGCAGCCCTGGCACTGCGTCCCTCCAGTCATAAGTGCCCAGGAGGCTGGGCAGTCAGAGGGCAGGGGAGCTAGCAGCCTCCCCAGGAAGCACCGACTCCTTCTAGAACATTCCAGGCCCTCCAGACTTGGGGCCTGCTGCTCACCCATCCCTACTGCACGGGCCCGGCCTCCCCAGGGAACCCCCCCACCGCCCTCTGTCACCGAGGTCACACACTGGGGTGGGGGTGGGGGGCTAACTGTCTTCCTGGTGCCCCGCAGGATGAGACCTGTCCCATCCCCAGAGCCAGACCTGGGACAGGAGGCGCCTGGCCCCACCCTCCACACAGACCCACACTGTCCACAGGCCTCTTAGGGGCGCCCAGTCCTGAGGCCAACCCCTGAGCACGCGGCCCGTCCCAAACACACTCCCCTCCAGGAAGGCCACCTCCCTTGGGGACCCCAAAGGGCTCTGGGCTCAAGAGGTGACCTTGGCCCTGTGCCCAAGACAGCCCTTAGCTGGCTCCTCGCAGTGCAGGCTGCTGACCAGAGGCCACTGTCCAGAGGGAAGCTGGTCCACAGACTGCAGGCCCGGCCCCTCCCTGCCGTTGGCCCAGCCCTGTACCCCGAGGGCAGCTGGGCCCTGGTCCTGGCGCGGGCACTGGCCAGAGCTGCTCCACCAGGGACTGTGACCATCCTACTCTATGGGAGTGGACGCTGAGGCTGGCAGGGGTCGGTCATACGAGGGCTGAGCTGCCCCAGGGCCCAGAAGCCAGGCAGGAAGGTGGCTCAGGTGTCTGGGACAGCTGACCCAGAGGTGCCACCCTGCCCACAGAAGCCATCCACCATCCTGTCCTCCCAGGGTGTAAAGTCACCCCATTCCCCCATCTTAGACCCCTCCCCCCCCGCAGGCACCAGGTGCTCAGCCAAAGAGGACACTCCTAGGCACCAAGGGCTTCTGCCGTCTGGCCAGCTGGGGCTTCCCTGTCCCCCCCCCCCATCTGCCTGCCCCCACCAGGAAGCACATGGTCTGTGCAGTTTGGGGTCCCTCTGCCCCAGCCCAGCCCCTGGGGCCTGGGGGAGCCCATTTTGCTCACAGCTGAGTCTGACATGTAGTAGGTGCTCAGTAAACACTTGTCACATGACCTACAGCCAAGGGACTTGTAGGGGAAATGCAGCCAGGGACAGCCACCTGGGACAGCCTGGCCGGGGGTGGGGGGGTGGAAACTGGGGCCAGGCCACAGGCAGTGGCCACCAGGAGCTGGAGGCAAGGGGCTGAGCCCTGGGGTGGGGACAAGCCATCCTGGGGCCAAGAGTGAGGCTGGGACAGGCACCAGCCCCCAAGGGACACTGCCAACACCAGTCCTGGCTCCCAGCTGATTCCCTTCCTGGTAGGATCTCGGCTTCCCTGGGACCCCTCTGGGGAAGGTCACCACCCCCGAGTCAGTGAGGCACCCCTGCCCACCCGGCACTCTGCGCGGCACTCACTGTCCTTGTCCGTAGGCGGCTGCAGAGAGTAGAGGACACCTTGGGGACTGCTCGGCGAGAGGCCCGGGCTGCCCGCTGGGCCCGGGGGTCCTGGGGGACCGGGGCGCCCCATCTCTCCAGGAAGCCCACGGGGCCCGGGCGGTCCCAAGAGCCCTGCAGTGGGGGAGAGGAGTCACCGTGAGGGCGGGGCAGGTGCAGACAGGGACACTGAGGCCCTGCAGGGATGGCTGGCCAGGGTCACGTGGAGGAAGGCTCTGGGAGGCCAAGGAGGAGCTCCTCCTTCCCAGCCCAGTGCAGAGGGGACGGGGGCAGCGGGGACAGAGGTGAGGGAGGCAGGGACAGCAGCACAAGCACAGACCCCAGCCAACGGGGTCCTCCAGGGAGCTCAGACACCAAGAGGGGCTCCCGACCTCGACCAGAGTCACCCCCCAGGGACTCGGGAGGAGACGAAGGTCCTGGAGGTTGCTTTGGTGGCCGAGAACAAGCCCCTGATTCTGGCACTGGCCACCCCCACCCAGGGTCCCTGCAGTCCCTCTCCTGACAGCCCAGGGTGTCCGACGGGGAGGGGACGGAGGAAAGAGCCCGGGCTCCTGGCGGGGCAGGGGACGCCTCTGCTGCCAGGGCAGGGGACGAATGACCCTTTCTTCCAGTGGACACAGGAGGGGTCCTTACCTGGAGGCCCCACTGGACCCTTCTCTCCTGCCTGGCCCCGGTCACCTTTGGAGCCCGGGGGACCTGCAGGCCCTGGTGGCCCAGTCTGCCCTGGGGGCCCTAGGAAAGAGGGAGACGAGGCCTGAGACGCGGGGCCCTGCATCCCGGTGGCTCCGAGCCTGACCACAGGGGGTGTGAGGTCTCCGTCAAGGTCACAGAGCCAGGCGTGGCTCAGGTCTCTGCACTCCAGGTCCTGTCCTCTTGCCCTACTATCTCCCTGCTCGAGGTCAAGTACCGGCTTGTGGTCTCCAGGCCCTGGGGCTGGACCAGAGTGGGGGGTGGACACGCTCTCTGGCCCCTTGTCCCTCTGGGCTTGCTGATTGGGTGGAAGGACTTGCTCTGCCTCTCGGTGCCCTTCCTGTTCCGGCCGCACGGTGACTCTGGGTGACTCTCTAGTCTGGGAGGAAGGGCTTGGGTGGGGGCTGCCGGCTCCTGGGAGCCCCACCTGCCTCCATTCCCGGGGCCAGCTGGGAGGACGCCCAGGTGCCACCATTTGTAGTGTGTGCCTGCCACCTTGTGGCCATTTCAGGAACTGCATGTTCCCTGGTGAGAAAGGCAGGGGCCTCCCAACACCCACCTAGAGGGCTTGGGGTCTGGGTCCGCTGAGGACGGAGGCCCCCTCCTCCTCAGTCCCAGAAGAATGAGGTCATGGGGCAGTGTCCTGGGCATGAGACCCTGGGGGCAGTGGCTCAGGGCGCAGGCCACCCAAGTGCAATGTCCCACCCTCCTCATGGAAGCCTGCCCGGGGCCACCTCCCACCAGCTCTGGCTCCTTTAGAAGGATGCAGGGCATCTGCTTCTCCCCAGGAAAGGCCGCTGGAAGCCACCTGCCCCACTTTTCTGGGGATCTGCCCTCCCTGTCCCTCTCCTGCATCCCTTGTCAGAATAAGGACAGAGGAGATGAAGGACAGGTGGGTGCCCAGAGCTGAGTTTGGGGGCTCGATTGGGAGAGGAGAGCGAGTGAGTGTGTTCCTTCCAAAGGGCTGAAGTGGGGCTGAGGCTCATCATGGCAAAATGCTGGTGACCCAAGGCGAGTTACCTAACTTCTCTGAGCCTCGGTTTTCTCCTCTGTAACTAAGACTCACAAGCTTTGTGCACAGCTTAGAAAGGGAATCTGTCCTGCCTATGAAATACTCAGTAACCGGCACAGCGTGCACCCTGACCGTCACAGGGCCCCAGCCGTAGACCCCGGGTGCAGCCATATTGACAGGTGCTGGCTAAACATCACCCCAAGACACACCCCAGTGGAGTGCCCAGTCCTGAGCAGGCCTTTGACAACTGTCCCTGTGACCACAGCTGTTCTTATGCTCTACAGCCTGAGGGCAGAGCCGAGAGCTCAGGTAGAATCTGCAGAGAGGACGTTTTACCCTTGACTTTAAAGTAGGACAGGACAGGGTGACAGATGTCCTCCAGTTCTGGCCTGAGAGGTCAGTGAGGACTCTCTGGGATGTGGGCAGGGCCTTTCACAAGATGGAGCTGAGCAGGGATGGGCCGGGCGGGGCTGGTGGCCCAGGGCAGGCGCTCTGAGGACAGTGGCTGGACGGCAGGACAGTAAGGAGGGGTGGCAACTGCGGCAGACGGCAGAGTCCAGGCTGGGCCTCAGCAGCTGCCAGGTGCCTCCTCGGCCCCCACGGCCATGGCTCAGCTTTTCCAAGCGTCACCTGGGCTTGTTTGGCCGCACTCACCGGCTGGGCCCGTGGGCCTTCTCCTCTGGGGCCCCGGGTGAGCCAGGGGGATGGCGCCCGGGAGGAAGTCCTCACTCCAGGGCGGGGTGCTCTGCGGGGCGGGCAGGCCGTTGTCCGGGCCTGAGGGCTGCTCTGCTGCCTCCAGCAGGAGGACCTGACCAGGAAGGGCAGAGGGTCAGGCCCGCTGGCCACCAGGGATGCGTGTGCGCAGGGTCCCGTCCCACGGGACCGCAGCTGTCCCCTTCTGCAGCGGCTGGTGGTGACTCTTAGCAGGACCACCGATCCCTTTGTCCTTCCTCCCTGTTAGGAAGGACCCTGGACCCTTGGATGCAAGCAGGTGCCAACAGGTGCCCTCCAGAGCGCTGTGCCTTGCTCACCCCTTCCTGGGCAGTGCCCCAGGGGGGACAGTGTGTGTGCCTTTTGTCCCCACCACACCTGGCTGGGCCCATGAAGTGGCTGGCTGGGAAGATGGGTGGGGGAGGGGGAGGGGGAGGGGACATGGGTGAAGGGAGGGGGAGGGGAGAGGAGAGGGAGAGGAGGGGAGGGAGGGGGAGGGAATGGGGAGGGGTGAATGGTCCCGCTTTGAGCATGGGCTCCAGGGTCCTATCCAGGGAGATGGGTGGCTGTAGCTCCTCAGGACTGGCCTGGAGCACAGCCCTGTACTCTGTCCTCGAGTCAAGGACAGCAGTGACCTGGGGTTTGGGGGGTGAACTTCCCCTTAAATCTCTTGGGAGCCAAGACTTAGGCCCCACAGTCCCTGCTGGCCCCAGGGAAGCCAGCAGGGGGCGCTGCGAGCCTGGGCTGGGAGCAGCTGCCAGGCGTCCTGAGAGCCCCGCACCCTCCAGGGTAGGGCCTGGGCAGAGGGGTGCTGCGGTGCTCACAGCGCTCAGGTTGGCTGGGCTGTCACAGGGTGCAGCCGTGGAGTAGCCCCCTGGGCAATTCAGCAAGTGGGGGCCCCTTCTCCCCACCCCCAACCAGGGCCACTTCTCTTTCTGGTCCTTATAAGATCCCATGAGACAAGGTCGCTGGTCACGTCGCACATGAAGTGGAAACAGAAGCTCAGAAAAGGCAAGTGACTTGCCAAGGTCACACAGGGAGGGCCGAGGGACCCAGTGCCTCCCCCACCAGACCACAGATCATCCCACTCACGGCTCAGCCACCGCCTGGCCAAGCTTCATGGAGTCACCAAGTAGGGAGCAGCTTGCTGAGCTCAGGGTGGACCCTGGGCTCCTGGCCCCGGGACCCCCCAAAGCAGAAAGGGGCTCCAACTGCTGAGCACCGTTGGCCGGTCAGCCAAGGCCAAGGTCGGGCTCTACGGAGAAGCCAGGCAAGTGGCAGGAAGGCCATGGCCGTGGGTGGCAGGAGGTGGATCAGGGCAGCCGTGTGAGGGCAGGAACAGGGGACGGATGGGCCAGGACAGTGGGCAAAGGCTGCTCCCCCATTGGTGCCCTGCTGCTGGGGACAGCAGGACGTCCACTCAGCAGACAGGGTAGGCCGGGGGTGCCGGGGACAAGCACAGTCAGGGTGGGCTGAGTGGCAGCGTCCTGGGGGGACCTGAGGGTTGGTGCCAAGATGGAGCCACCTGAGGGGGACACAGACAAAGGGCAGTGGAGGGAGGTGGCACTGGGGGTTCTGGGGATGGGGTGGCCCTGGTGTCCTTGGTACTGGCTCCAGCCGCTGTCCCAGCAGTCTGGCCTGGATGGCCCCCTTCCTGAACTCCTCTCCCCTGGCTCCGCCAGCCACAGAGCACAGACCTGGGCAGCAGAGTCTGGGCCTCAGCCAAGTGAGAATGAGGCCCAGCCAGAGCCCAGGGCCCCTGGCCCGGGGGTGGCCACCCTCCTAGAGAAGCCATCTCGTCCCTGCCCTGTATGAGCTCACCGAGCGGGTGGCAGTGGGTGTGGGGACTCAGCCCAGGAAAACCAGACCCGGCCTGGGGAGCAGAGACCCTGGTGACGTCACTGCGGCCCAGCTGCCTGGCCAGGCCACCGCCCTCCTACACAGAGCCTGGTTGAGCTCTGAGACTGCTGTGGCCCCCACGGAGGGAAGTCCCTTCATGTGGTCCATGAGGTCAGGCTGTAAATTGCGGGGGAGGAGTGGACGAGGGCTGGCACCGCCCAGGGCCCTGCGGCCTTCTCGGGACAAGCAGGAGGCGGGAAGTGAAGATGAGGTGGACCCTGATGGCTGCCCGGCCCCCAGCTGCCCCTTCTTCCCTTGCTCCAGAATGTCCACCTGTGTGTGTGGCCCAGAGGAGGAAGCATGACTGGCCCCAACCAGTTACAACAATCCTCTTCTGCTTGGTCGGGTACTCAATTTCCAGTTCCCTTGCAACTATGAGGTGGTCTTACAGCCAGCCCAACGCTGGCCCATGGAACATAATGAGTCTTTGGGGGTGCCTTGTCTCGCTGTCCACTTCCTGCCTTTTAACACTGAGCTGCAGCAGCCACTTTGTAACTATGAGACACCAAACGTGAAGACAAAAACCCATTCTTTAAGGAAGTGTGGGTGGGGCAAGGTCCATGAAGAGCCTGGTTTCCAAGCCTCAGAGACAGACCTGAGGCCACCTGCTCCTGGGCTCCCTGTGGAACAAACATCCTTATGGAATAAGCTACCACTGGCTGTTCTCCGTCACGTGTGTCCTTTCTGACACCCAGATGTGCCTTGTCTGAAGCAGCAGGAGCCCCAGTCTCCAGGCCTCAAGGTCATGGGTCTCTTGGGACAGCCACCTGCCTCCTGGCTTCGGACCCCTGTCTGGGGTCTTCCTGTCTGGAGGCTGCCCTGGGCCCAGCGGGGATGTGAGACGGGTCGCAGCTGGGGAATCCAGCAACTGTCTGGAGGAGGACCACTGTGGGGCTGGGCCCCTCTCCCTGGCCCGCCTCTGCACACCCTCCCTGGCCCCCACCAAGAGCTGTCCACCCTGGGCCCGCCTCACAGTGACCTGGGGGGCAGGGAGGTGGCTCCAGCCTCCCTGGTCCCTGGAGCCGGCAGGGACCCAGAGTGGGGGGTTGCCAAGGCGAGGGGCTGCTGGGACAGAGGACCTGGCTCCTCCTTGACCCCTCCTCTGTCCCTGCCACCAGCTCCGAGGATCACAGAGCCCCCTGCCCTGCCCTGCCCTGGGGCGCTGGGCCTGGGGCAGGGGTGTCAGGCTGGGAGGGCCCCAGGACGCTCATGGCAGGGGCAGGGTGGGGGCCAGGTGGGAGGGACCTGCTGGCTCAGCGCCAGGCCCCCGAAAACTGTGACTTCTAACACCCCAAGGCGGGGTGGGGCCAGGCTGGCTGGGGCCAGGCTGGCCGCCAACTCTCCTCTGTGCCCAAACACCGAGGTGTCAGGCGTGGAAACTGTCCTCCAGGCCAGCCCCACCTGCCCTGGAGTCCAGCGCCAGGTCCCCCGCGTCCTCCCACTGTCCTCATAGCCCATCTGGGGCTGACCCGGGCCTGGATCCCTGGAGCCCCAGCCCCTGAGTGCTACTGTCCCCCAGGAGGGCAGCCTGTCACCCCCACCACTGGGCCTGCGCCTGGGGGCCTGCTGGCCTGCAGAGGGCATGGGACACAGCAGCTGTGAGTGGCCTGGGATCCCTCATGTCCTGCGCTGACCCCCATGAGTGCAGGCGCCGCTGACTGCAGGTCCCTAGTGGTCACTCCAGCCCCCGCCAGCTGGTCCTGCCCAGTTCCCTCCTGGCCTCGCTCCTGCCCCGGCCTCTGCAGGGCCAGGCCACCTCGGTAGTCCCCACTGCTCCAAGAGGCCCCACATGGAACGTGGAAGCGGCCTCAGCTGTGTCCCCGGGCCTGTCCTCTCCAGGTCCCTCTAGCTAATCACCAATGCCTGCTTTAGAGGCTGCCATGTGTGGAGGGGCCAGGGCAGGTGCTGCTGGCTTGCCCCACGGACGCCCTGGCCACACAGGCTGGGGTTTCTGGCTGCGGGCACCTGTGACTCTGCCCAGCCCCTCCTGTGGCCACAGGAATGGCAGCAGGTGGGCAGAGGTGGGCAGGCAGAGGAGGGTCAGGGACTAACCTGCCGAGGAGCCTCCGGTGCAGACAGGAGAGGCTGCCCGGCCTCACCCTCCCGAGCGGGCGGCTCCAACACACAGCCCCCACCTGGCTGAGTGGCAGGTGCCCCACGGGTGGCCCACGATGTCCTGAGCACACTGCCTCCATCCCCACCCAGCGCTGCTACGGCCACTCCCAAACAAAGCTCTAGCTCTTGACAGAGTCCCTCTGACCCTGGGGACCCACCCAGGACCAGCCCGGGTCCCTGGGTGCCCCACTGAAGGCGGGCAGCTCTGCCCACTCCCCTGTGCCCAGCCCAGGGCAGGCAGTGGGCAGAGGGGGCAGAGCCGGAGCTGGGAACTGCCGCTGGGAGAGGCAGCCACACTGCCCTGTCCTCCGGGGTCCACCCGGCAGCCCCAGGGTCTGGGGCTCTGTGCCACTCGTCCTGCCAACACCCAGCCTGCTGCCTGGGACCTTGCCTCCCCCTCCCTTCCCAGGAGGCTCCAGCCCAAGCAGGTTCCCCGGGGCCACCCAGCAGCACCCAGGGGCTAGGTCCGTGCTGCTCAGGCTGCTGGGCTCCTGGGCTGGGTCCGCCTCGCCACACCCAGCAAGTGCCCGCGTTGCTGCGCCCCCCACCCCCCTCCCAGCTCCCCGCGCCCAGGCTCCCCGCTCTCCGACCTTGGCCTCCAGTGTGGTCAGCCGCTCACTCATGTCACTCAGCCGGGTACAGTTCATGCATTCTGAAAGACAAGGGGAACCAAAGGTCAGAACGTGGACCCTGGGGAGGGGGCAGCCAGGCCCAGGGCGGCCTCTGCAGTCAGGCAGGGAAGCCTGGAAAACTCCTACTCGACCTTCGGAGCCTTCTGCTCAGGGCCCCTCCTCCATGCAACCTGCCAGACCTGAGCCCCGGCACATCGTGCCATCACTGCACAGTGTCTGCTCTGGGCCAGGAACCGAGCAGCACAGGGGACACCGCAGCCTGTGGGTGCCACAGGGTGAGGGTCTTGGTCTCGGGGGCCAACACAATATCTGATCATGGAAGGGTAAATGGTAACCGTCTGGGGAAGGAGCTGAGCCGGCAGACACGGGTCACTAGGACAGAAGGATCTGGGTACATCACGGGGACGGGACGTTGAGGCCAGCATGGATGGGGTCAGACAGGGAGGACATTCTGAGGGGAGGCAGCTCAAGGGAGGCCTGAGAGCCGCACGGTGGTGGCCAGATTTAGTGAGGACAGGGCAGAGTCCGCAGCCCACACACTGGGGACCACTGAGACCCAGGAGGTGCCCGGGGCCCTAACGCCCAGGCACAGCAATGCCCAGGAGCCAGCGGGGGGTGCTGGAGGGTTTGGGCAGGTGAAAGGCCAGATGTGCATGCCGGAAGCTCACCCTGAGCCCTGTGTCCACGGGGCAGGAGCTTCCTGGGCTGCAATTATGTATCAACGTCTGTTTACCTGTCCTGGGCAGACAGAGGGTTCAAGGCGGCTCTGAAGAGCGTGTGTTGCCCTGGAACTCAAGGGTGGCCGCGTGTCCTCTCTGTCCTCCCTACAGTTCAAAGCCTGACTCTGGGGGACCCCCTTCTGCTCCTAAACAGACTCCCAGCAGCTCTCAAGGCCTTCGGGTGGGGCAGTAGGTCCCCCGTGGCCTGTGGGGGCCACAGACATAGGTTGCTTGGCCTCTTGCTGCCACCGTCCACGGGACCTTGGACTCCTGTTTGGGACCTTATTAACTTCCTTGCTCTGAAATGGACCCCCACGAGGGGTCCTGGGGCCATAAAAAGGGGTGGTACAGATTGTATCCTCCAGGGATGTCCAGCCGCGGGGCAAGAGGAGGACATCGGCCTGTGGTCCCCCCAGCCCTACCTGATCTCCGGGAAGGAGCCCTGAGAGCTCCAGGGGACCCCCGCACCCCTCCCTTCTGCCCTTGTCTGCACCAAATTAGTGGTTTATAAGCATTTTCTGGGAATAAAACTCTCCCCTCCCCTCATAAAACCTTGTCAGCAACCCCGATACATAAAACAGATTAAAGACTGAGGTATAAACACTGAACAGGGAAACAACTAGAGGAATGTATACAGTTGTCTGATGCCGGGACCAGAAGGGACTTTAAAAAGGACACGCAGTGGGGGTGGGGGTGGTCTTCTGGTTTAACATGGTGGATTGAACACACATGTTCCCCTCTGGTCCTTCCCAGGTCTGGGAGGTAAAGAAATCAAAAGTAGAAAATCCACCAGCACAAGAGAAAGACAGCGCAGGGTTCCCCTCAGCAAAGGAACCGTCAGGCATGCGCACCTGGGATCCCGGGGGCTCGGGAGGCCGAGGCCGGAGGACCGTGTTCAAAGCCAGCCTCAGCAACTTAGCAGGCTCTGAGCAACTCAATGAGACCCTGTCTCTAAATAAAATTTGAGAAAGGGCTGGGGATGTGGCTCAGTGGTTAAGCACCCCTGGGTTCCATCCCTGGTACCAAAGAAAAAAAAAGTTTCAAAGGACAAAAATTTTGCAAGATGGAGTGCATCAGGCACCCAGACCCAGGCTAGCAAAACTGAGGAGGGATGGGAGGTGGGAACCACTGGGCCCTCCTGAGGCTGGGGAAGCCCCAGGTGGAGAGGGGAGAGGTCCTCTCTTTCCCCAGAGGAAACGCCTGTAGAAGTGACATTCGGAGAGACCTCTGACACAACAGCTGAGTCTCAAGAGACAGTCTCCATGGGTCGTGGTCACCAAGGCCCTGGCACGTGGCTCTCGGTGTGTTCCTCTCACCTTCCTGCAGCCAGGCATTCTGGGCTGCTGTAAGAAGCTGTACGGAGCCAGGCGAGGTGGCACACACCCGTCATCCCAGGCACTCGGGAGGCTGAGGCCAGAGGATCGCAAGTTCAAAGGCCAGTCTGGGCAACTTAGCAAGACCCGGTCCCAAAATTTTAAACAAGGCAGGGGGTTGGGCTGGGGGTGTGGTTAAGTCAAAAGCAACCCCTGGTTCAGTCCTCAGTAGAAGGGAGGAAAAGACCCTTAATGGGGACAGGCAGGGTTCAAAAGGAGCAGGGTCCCATTGCCTACCCACCCATTCCCCATCCACCCACCCCAGTGCCCTCCCAACCACCCCCTTCAGTCACCAGGAGGCCCCATGGATGTTCAAGAAGCCCTCTGGGGCCGTGTGTCAGCATGGAGGGGTGACAGGTCGGCAGAGCCAGGTGCCTGCTCTCAGGGGCTGTCTCTTTGGGGAGCAGAGGTTCACGAACCCCCCCAGCAGCCTCGTCTTTCTGGGCAGCCTGGTGACGCTGTAGCTGGGCCGCAGCCCGCCCTGCCCACACCCCGGGGCCAGCAGGAAGGGTGACGAGGAGGCCACGGTGGATGTGGGAGGTGGAAGCTGGAGCCAGGCGGGTCCACCCGGGCGGGGCACAGGGCAAACCGCACATTCTGGAGGCCTTAAGGGGCTGTTTCCAGGGTCTTAGGCAACAAACAGGACCCCCTGCAGGGGGCAGGTCAGTGGAGGGAGGGGGCCTTGGGCTTTTTCTGGAAAGTGCTCTGGGCAGGGGCCCAGTTGGCTCTGGCACCCGGAGGCCTGCTTGGCAGGTGAGGAGCAGTTGGCTGTCAGCAGGCACAGAGGGGCCAGCTCCCCAGCCTCAGCGAGGCCCAGGAGGCCCAGCTCAGCCTCCCCATGCCACCCGCCTGGGCAGGCGCTCCAGATCCGAAAGGTTTACGGCTCCCCTGGCATCTGCCACCGACAGGCAATTAAAGCCTGTTTTTTGTTTTAACTTTCTCTAATTAGTCGTTGGAGCCACGGAAACATGGAAAGGGCGCAGGTGGGGCCGAACCCGCCCCCGGCTCTGGGACAGGCAAGGCCCTCCCAGTGGCTCAGGCCTCAGTTCCCTTGCCGTGATGGGGGCTCTCACTTGCTGGGATTCTGAGATCCCCAAGTTCCCCCAGCAGCTTCCGGAGCACAGGTGGGTTCCTGGGCACCTGGCAGTACAGGACGCTTCCTGGGGTCCAGAAGGCACAGAGATGGGGGGTGGGGGGCTTTGCCAATTGTGTATATCAGAAATTTGGAGGGCTGACCAGTGTGTGTGAGTGTGTGTGTGTGTGTGGCACAGATAGAGAGAGAGAGAGAGAGAGAGAGAGAGAGGCGTGGTCAGTGGAAAGAGCCACGGAGGCCTGGTCCAGGCTGACTTACTTGTGGCTTGGGGAGTCCCTGCCCGGGGCCCACCTCAGCTCCCCATCTGTAAAGGGGTCTCCACCGGATCAGCTCCAGGCCTCTGGCCTCGGGGTCCTGGGCTCCTGCCACCTGTGCCCTGGTCCCCAACCTCTCACCCCCAGTCTGGGCCCACCCCTGGCGGGACAGTGCTGCCAGCTCCCCTGCTGTTGGCCTGCTGCGGCCACGCGGGCTCCGCTCCTGAGCTTAGGACCCACCTTCACCATGAGACTGGACTCCTGAGCCTGGGCCTAGAGAGGGGCTCCGGCTGCCTCAGGGAACCAGGGAAGCCTCTGTCCCAGGACACCAAGGCCATGACCCTGATGGGGCAGCCAGGGTGCACTGTGGCTTTGTCCCCAGAGGCCAGTTCTCTCTGTGAAAGGTCGCTGGGGGAGGTCTGCAGGTGGGGGGTGCATGTAGGATGGTGTCACTAGCAGGAGACCTCAAGCTGGGTCCAGCTAAAGGAGATCCTTAAAATTGGGGAGACTCCAGCTACACCACACCCTTCCCATTGGGCCACACCCCTTCAGCTGTGCCATACCCCTCCAGCTATGCCACACCCTCCCCATTGGGCCACACCCCTCAAGCTATGCCACACCCCTTCCATTGGGCCACACCCCTTCAGCTGTGCCACCTCCTTCCCATTGGGCCACACCCCTCTAACTATGCTATGACTCTTCCCATTGGGCCTTGGCCACACTCCTCTGCTGGGCCACGCCCCTTTCTTCCCTGAATTTCGCCCAGTCTCCAAGCCCCGAGACATGCAGTTCCTCCCTCAGGACCGTCCTATTCCCTGCCTCCTTCTTTGTCTCACAGTCCATCCTCATCCTTGAAAACATAGCCAGAAAAATGCTATGGCGAACAGGAGGGTGGCTCGGGCCACCATGGCCATCTCTGAGGAGAATGGCTGGACTCCCATTACTACACTCAGGGAAGGAGGAAGCCGCAGAGCAGGGCGGTGTCAGGGCTGCGTTACTGCAGGAGAGGAGTGGGGGGAGGAAAGCATCTTGGTGCTCTGGCCACCTTCTCACTCCAGTGTGAATTCAGCAGCGCTGTAATCAGCACCAGGGGTCCCCAGCACTCTTGCTCCAAGTGGCCCCCAGAGAGCTGCAGCGAAGCTCCGCCACACCCTCACGGCCATAGGATTCCTCTCTGGGGAAACTGAGTGGCCCAGGAGAGAAGATCTAGAGATGCCCTGACTCTGGGGTCAGAAGCCTCTGCGAGGAGCCCATGGAAGACAGGCCTGCCTTGTCCACGGAGTTCAGGTCCCAGCGACTTCCACAGGAGCAGACAAGGAGACAAGGGGGATAAGGACCAGAACAGCAAGGACAACACAGAGAGAAAGCAAACTCCAGAGGATGAGTGGATAGAAGAAAACTGAAAAACAAACAAACTCAAAAACAAACAATCTCAAAAACCACACTCAAAAACAACAATGAGAAGATCACAACTGTATTTGGTATCCTTAGAGAAAAAGAAGAGACGGCATCCTTGGAACCACAGGAACTATTTGGAAAGAACTTTCAAAAACCAAAGGTGCACTTTCAGGGGGAAAAAAA